AAAAAAAAAATACAAAAAAGAAAGTTCTTGACACTCGTCTTACCAATGTGTGGGGTGAAGCGAAGGGCGACGGGAACCTGACTTTGTACCACTGTTGGGTATTCGCTCGTCTCAAGCGAGGACACTTTTCAGAGTTACTACGTGCAACCCAGATCAATTTCAGCCCACAAAATGAGCCCGAACAAGAGAAAACTTTTCGGACCGCACTTAAGCATCACCCGATCAACGACAACAGTCTTAACAACAACACTAGAGACTCGAGCAATTGCAAAATGAGCCTGAATAATAGCTAAATTGATCCCAGGCAGCACTGTAATAATGACAATCATTTCAGCAGCGTAGAAGGATTAATTTTTCAGCAGCAACGAACCATAATTTTTTGTGCTCAATCAGAGCCTTGCCATGTTCCTGCAACCTCATTTTTTTGAGACGAAATCAAAGTGCTTGGTTGATGGATCTGAGGCTCAGGCTTCATACAAAATACCCACAAAATTATCACTTAGAAACTAGCATCGAGCCATCACAACTCTGTAAGAATATTGATTTAGCATCGTCCGACAAACCTAAGTATTTATTTTATTCCAAACAATAGATAATATTATAACACAAAATGTGCATGAATACAATCCGAGAGCCAGCTGACTCTAATAAGAGAGACACCCACAGCCGAGTGCTCTAGAATCAGACCTACGACGACACACACTAAACACTCCCAAAGAGAGAAAGACAAACAAAAGTTCCCAACAGAAGAAACGACAAGCAAAAGCTCCCAACGGGAGAATAGACAGCTCCCAACAGAAGAATACACAAGCAAAAGCTCCCAACAGGAGAATACACAAAACACACTCCAAAAGGGAGAAAAAAGAAAAACACAGTCAACACACAAGCAAAACACCTAGAACAAAACAGAAAAAACACTACAACACCACCCTTCCCAAAGCAGACAACCACAGGTCCACAGCAAGTCAACTCACGACGAACCTATGTGTTTTCTAAAAGATTTCTTGTTAAGCAAGCAAAATAGATTAAAGAGAAGTTTTCTATTTATTTACTTGCGAATTATTTAAGTTCCTAATATTTTTTATTTATAATATATGGTATATATTTATTATAATATGTATTATGGAATCCTAATCTTTTAGGAGAAGGATTACATAATATATATCTTATATATTTACTTACCATATATGACACATGCTTTAATGAGTTTGATTTTATGCCATAATTAGTTTTCTCTCTCTCTCTCTCTCTCTCTCTCTCTCTCTCTCTCTCTCTCTCGTGTTCTTACATCAGACTGGGAACACAAGATTTCCATTGGAAGCTCAATTCTAAAAATTTCCAAATCACATACACGAATTCTACATCAATGAAACTTATTATTAATGAAGGATTTCGTCCAAATCAGAAAGGGTACTTTAATGAGTTTGATTTTATGCCATAATTAGTTCTCTCTCTCTCTCTCTCTCCCTCTCTCTCTCTCGTGTTCTTACATTAGTCTGGGAACACAAGATTTCCATTGAAAGCTTAATTCTAAAAATCTCCAAATCACATGCACGAATTTTACATCAATGAAACTTATTATTAATGAAGAATTTTGTCCAAATCAGAAATGAATCAGTTGAGAATGAAATTGACTTCTAAAAAGAAAAGGAGAAACTTGTGAAGACTCTTAGAGATTATATTTAAGGGTTAATTGCAACAAAAATCATGACCTTTGCTTAAATTGCAAATAAAACTCCACCTTCTCAATTTGGCAAAACAATACACAACCTTTCAAAAATTTTGCAATCATGTCTCGAAAGAAGATTCTGGTC